GAGCGTAAACCGTTCATCAGTATTTAGGTAATAATTAACCAGTAAGTGAGTACAATGACCAGATTGGGTTAGATTACCGTTTTATTTATTTTTTATTTCTTGCTTCGAAGCCCAACACACTCATGGGGGAGCCGGGTGGTCATAACTCAACAACTGCGCAGTTCATCACCACCACTGTATTCACCATTGAAAACTGCGCCGCATTCACTAGATTTAACACAAATAGAAGTATTTTTTGCGGAATTAAGATGTATTTTTTACTGGCTAGTTCTTTGCTTACTCTTTAGTTACGATTTCTGGGAGTTGAAACAATTTATTACGGGTTCTAGCCGGGCGGGGTGAGGCGAGGCGAGGCGAGGGAGGGAGCCAAGGGGTGAGGAGGAGCCGGGCGGGTGAGGCGAGGGAGGGAGGAGCCGGGCGGGGTGAGGCGGAGGCGAGGGAGGAGGGAGCGGGCGGGGTGAGGCGAGGGAGGGAGGAGCTGGCAAGGGAGGCGAGGGGAGGGAGGAGCTGGCGCGGGGTGAGGCGAGGCAGGGAGGAGCCGGGCGGGTGAGGCGAGGAGGAGGAGTGGAGCCGGGCGGGGTGGGAGGAGGTAGGGAGGGAGCCGGGCGGGTGAGGCGAGGTAGGGAGGGATGGGCGGGGTGAGTGAGTAGGGAGAGCTGGGCGGGGTGAGGCGAGGTAGGGAGGGAGCCGGGCGGGGTGAGGCGAGGTAGGGAGGGAGCCGGGCGGGGGGAGGCGAGGTAGGGAGGGAGCCGGGCGGGGGGAGGTGAGGTAGGGAGCCGGGCAAGGTGAGGTAGGGAGCCGGGCGAGGCGGGGCGGGGCTAGGCTAGGCTAGAGGGCGAGACGTCTCAGAATACAGTATATATTAAATCCCGTAACATTAAGGTTCCTGGTAATTTTTTAAAAGCGGGCAACCATGGATTTTACAATCGGAAAAACCCATTGGTCAACAACCAAAAAGCACCATAACTAACCTAACAACGTAACGTAACCTGGAGGTTCCTTGGTTGTCTCCTGGTGAAAAAAGGTCCATTTGTATGTGAACACAACAATTAGAAAGTATAACAAAATAATATTAGCGTATTTGTGTTTAGATCGGTTATGACCTCCATTTCCGTCGGAAATTGGTCGTTTTTTATAGATTTTTTTGGTGAGGCGTTTTCCGAAAAAAATATTGGCTCGGCGAATGAAAAATGCAAAAAAAAAAAACCATATAAAAACATAAACCGGACCTAATCTAACAGACTCACCATATGTTGGAATCCCTTATTTCTTACCTTATTGGCCTGGTTCTCGTTGGAGTTACCACATGTGTTGGTCTTGGCGACACTTACATTCGTTCTTGCATTAATGACACTTTACGGAGGTCGGGAGAACAACATGAGATCTAAAAATGCTATAGTTTTAGTGTGGAGGTAATGGTTTATGTAAACAGTTGGGGACAGTAAGTACACGTGGTGTAGTGGTAGATGGAAGTTGCAAGTTTAATTTTCATTCAACGTAAATTACAACTTTAATCATGTTGCAGGTGACAGCTGGTGTACTTGAAGGCCAATGGAGAAGTGACAGAACCTTGAGCAACATTTAACACCCAGCATGTTACTTCAGCCTCATCAGTTAAGTTACTTATATATTATCTTAGCTATTATGGTCAGCCCATAAACCACTCAACACTGTGCTCCTACACTGGGCAGTGGAGGGTGTGTGTGTGGGACCTGGCTGACTGTGAATGTTGGAGGGCTCTGGAGGACTGGGTGTGTGTGTGTGTGTGTTTTGGAGGACTCTGGAGAACTGTGTGTGTGTGTGTTGGAGGGCTCTGGAGGACTGTGTGTGTTGGAGTGACCTGTGTGTGTGTGTGTTGGAGTGCGACTGTGTGTGTGTGTTTGTGTGTGCTGGAGGACTGTGTGTGTGTTGAGGACCGACTGTGTGCGGGTGGTGGTGGACTGTGTGTGTGTTGGAGGACTGTGTGTGTGTGTGTGCTGGGAAGGACTGTGTGTGTTTGGTGTGTGTTGGAGGACGTGTGTGTGTTGGAGAATTGTGTGTGTTGGAGGACGTGTGTTGAGACTGTGTGTGTGTGTTGGAGGACTGTGTGTGCTGGGAGGACTGTGTGTTGGAGACTGTGTGGGAGGACTGTGTGTGTGGGAGGACTGTGTGTGTTGGAGGACTGTGTTGGAGGACTGTGTGTGTGTGTGTGTGTTGGAGGGCTCGGTATTATTGCAGTTTCGGCCAGTACACACCTGACTTTTAACCATCCCCAACCTTTAGATCTCCTTATTGGAGTATTTCTAACACCATTTTAACCAGGGAGCAAAGAATGTCAGAAAGGAGTTTTGAAGATTCCATGCTTTGTTTTGGGGGGGGGGGATATAATTCTAAAGAGGGTGCTTTCCCCTGGAAATAAAGGCCAAATTTCATTGAATCGACCCAAAATACACAGGATAAACGAATTTCTAAACTACGAGGGCATATTCGACGAAACTGCAATTTTACAACGGGCTCTGGAGAGCTGTGTGGACTGTCTAGATAAACTGAGCTGGGAGTCAAATTAAGATTAGCTGTAGAGATTTGGGAAAGCTTAATAAAGTGCTATAAAAATGTACAGGACTAAATGCCAATTTGTTACAGTATTAGTGAGCATTAGTAGTAGTAATGTGATTAATAGTAAGTAAAGCTGGTTGTTAGTAGGTGGGTTTTAACTAACAAATTAACTAACCTAATCAGCCTAACATAGATTAAATGTAACTAATCTAGACTAACCCAAATTAATATTAAGTTACCTATTATATAGTTTATATATTGGATAACAAATATATTAAAGAATGTAACTTAAAATTTGCCACAAGTTAACTGATCATGAATTCAGAAAGTTAAGCTAAAAAAATTTCACTTGTTTAAATTATTAAAAATCAATAGCTTGCGTACTTTGCAGTTTCCTTTTCAAAATCTAATCGTGTACTGTACTGACTTTCTCCTCAGGTTAAGCTGGCCAGAAGTAACATCATACTGAACCTAAGGAGAAATAACTTAAAATGCCAGAACAGGTAAAGTCAACTTACTGAGTTTTATTTAGGCAAGGGAAGCTTGTGGGACTTGTGAAATCATTAAACATTGTGTGGGTGTGGCTTGTTGTAATTAGGGTGGGGGGGGACAATATGCCTTGTGTATTGGCATATGGGGTGAGCAGGTGTGTTGGTAAAGTTTTTCATTCAAGTTGTCAAGGGGAATACCTAAGGGGGCTTGAGGGGTGGGAGGAAGGGAGGGAGGATTCAGTAAGTGAACTGTGGTAAACTGTTGTGTATGAAGCAGTGTGGAGAGATTTAGTAGTGTAGCAGTATTGGTGATGAAGGCTTATGATTGGCTATACTATTGTTGTGGTAAATGTTAGTTGTTGAGGTATCAAGAAAACTAAAACACTAATGCAACTTAAAATAAGATCTTCTGTAGATAAGGTATTTAAATAAACAATTGGGGACAGTATAAGTACATGTAGTCTGGTGGTAGATGGAAATTGTATGTTTAATCTTCATTGTACATAAATTACAACTTTAAACATGTTGCAGGTGACAGCTGACGTACGTGAATGCCAATGTAGAGGAAGTGACCGACACCTTGAGCAAGATGTAACACCCAGCATGTTACTTAAGCCTTCTTAGGTAAATTACTTATGTATCTTAGTATGGCCATCCCCAAAAACTACTGGAAGTAAGACTCGAGAGGAGGGACTTACTTTGTGTGAAGGGTTGGAAAGGAGGAGCATTGGGCGGTGGAGGGGCGCTCGTACAGTGCAGGGGCGCTCGTACAATGGGGGGGCGCCTCGTACAGTGGGGGTGGGTGCCTCGTACAGTGGGGGTGGGGGCCTCGTATAGTGGACGGGCGCTCGTACAGTGGGGGCGCTCATGCATGGATGGTGGTGTGCTCAAGCAATGGTGAATGGAGTGCATGTTAAAAATGTGATGCAAAAAATAGCATGTACTATGAAGGCATGTGGGGGATGATGCCTAGATGAAGACTGCTGCAGCCAAAAGTGAGAAGGACAATGCTCCTGTGTAAGGTGATATAGGAGGGTGTTTGAGTGTATGGATATATCACATATATATAAGAATGCAAGTTTAGATTCCAAGAAATTCTGGAGTAAATGTTGTGTATTGGTAGTAATACATTAAGGTAATTAAGATTGATCTAAATCCAAACCATGTTGCAGGTGGTTGGTGTACAAGATAGATGGATCAGACACAACAAGGTGACCACGACTGTCTAGCATCCCACACCTTGAGGACTACCACCTTACTAAGAAAGAACAGAATTGGTGTTCTGTACACTACTGTTAAGAATAGTGTACTGTAATGTAAAAGTTAAGTATTACTGAAACCTTTTTTATATAATTTAGCAAAACTTGATATATTACTTAAAATAGTGCATTTAAGAACATACAGTACAAGTTAACCTCAATATTGTGTATTGGTTGTGATATAAAATAGCTTAATTAATTCAGATGTAGAGTATCTAAAAACAAATATAATCATGTTGCAGGTGGTTGGTGTACAAGATAGATGGACCAGACACAACAAGGTGACCACGACTGTCTAGCATCCCACACCTTGAGGACTACCACCTTACTAAGAAAGAACAGAATTGGTGTTCTGTACACTACTGTTAAGAATAGTGTACTGTAATGTAAAAGTTAAGTATTACTGAAACCTTTTTTTATATAATTTAGCAAAACTTGATATATTACTTAAAATAGTGCATTTAAGAACATACAGTACAAGTTAACCTCAATATTGTGTATTGGTAGTGATATAAAATAGCTTAATTAATTCAGATGTAGAGTATCTAAAAACAAATATAATCATGTTGCAGGTGGTTGGTGTACAAGATAGATGGACCAGACACAACAAGGTGACCACGACTGTCTAGCATCCCACACCTTGAGGACTACCACCTTACTAAGAAAGAACAGAATTGGTGTTCTGTACACTACTGTAAGAATAGTGTACTGTAATGTAAAAGTTAAGTATTACTGAAACCTTTTTTATATAATTTAGCAAAACTTGATATATTACTTAAAATAGTGCATTTAAGAACATACAGTACAAGTTAACCTCAATATTGTGTATTGGTTGTGATATAAAATAGCTTAATTAATTCAGATGTAGAGTATCTAAAAACAAATATAATCATGTTGCAGGTGGTTGGTGTACAAGATAGATGGACCAGACACAACAAGGTGACCACGACTGTCTAGCATCCCACACCTTGAGGACTACCACCTTACTAAGAAAGAACAGAATTGGTGTTCTGTACACTACTGTAAGAATAGTGTAACTGTGAAAGTTAAGTATTACGGAAATATTTTTGTTATAATTTAGCAAAACTTGAGAAAATACTTAAAGTACTGTACTAATGCATTCAAGACTGTAGGAGTGAACCTTGATTAAAGCCACACAAAGTATTAAAAATAGCAAGATACATTATGTACAGTAGCATTATTAACTACAGTGGTAGTCACAGTTTTGTTGTGGTTGCAAAAAATTTCCATTTTATAATACTGTATATTTTTCGTCCACAGGTGAAGTATCAGCAAGGTGTACAACGAGATACACGGACATCAATCAAACGGATTGTGAGAGGTTTGAATATCTCGCACGGATCCATTTCTCTTAGTGGTTTGTAAAATTAAGTGTAATATGTAATTGTTGTTCAGTGTGGGAAGGCCTCTGGTGGCTTGTTGAGGGATGGCGTTTGTACCAGGGGGAGGCGTTTGTACCGGGGGAGGCGTTTGTACCGGGGGAGGCGTTTGTACCGGGGGAGGCGTTTGTACCGGGGGAGGCGTTTGTACCGGGGGAGGCGTTTGCTGGTAGAGGCGTTTGGGGGAGGCATTTGCGTTTGTAGTGGTAGAGGCATTTGTAGTGGTAGAGGCACTTGCACTGGGAGGTGTTTGTAATGGTTTGTACTCCTACAATGTCTGTGTATAACAAAATAAATAAATAAATAAATAAATATTGAATGAACTTTACGTTTCATATTCCGGAGTTGAATGATAATGATCTAAATAAACCACAAGTACAGTAAAACTGTAAACTATACCTGAAACATGAACTAAAGTGATCAACTTGGATACACCCACATGATGGCTTCTGGGTAACTTAGAACATATATACATTAATTACATATAATTATCACCAATTGACATCAAAGTGCCCATGTGATGCCCTATTGGGTACATGTAATCAAAACTACTAGATACCCACAGATGGCACAAATAATGCATTTAAGTCACCGACGCCTCGGACAAAGGATTTTGACAACCTTACCGAGAGAACGGGCGTCTCGTGTTCATTTTGAAATTCATCGGCCATGACCGTAAAGAACATTTTTGATTGCATACATACTATTAATTTGAAAGTATTGTATATATACAGTAAATGAAAGTAAAGTACAGTAAGAATTTTACTTACTAAATGTTGACAATCTGGACACTGCACACCAATTGCTGAATGGAAGTGTTTTACCTGAAAATATAGAAGAAAAAATCTTGTAAAATTGTAATAAACAACTTATGAACCCCCCTCCCCCCACCCCGCCCCCTAAAGACTTGGTAACTTGGATAAATTTAGAAATATATCTACTGTGCCTGGCCAAAATTATTCACAAAGTACAAGACTTCCATTATTATCTAAAGCTAAATTTTGTGTAGGACCAAAACCTGACAAGATACTTTATAAAACCTTAAGGTCTAGTGAAATAAACTCACCTTATGTGGAGTCTGCAATATAAAGGTTGAATTGAGAAATCCACAACCGCTGGTAATGTGACGGCCTCACCATCACTGATGTATCTGCCGAGAAATAATAATGGTAGTGGTACTGTAATGTGATTTCAGGGGACACGGGAGAAAGATATCTAGTGATGTTGCCAATCATTACAAGTTTTATGATTTTCTTCTGTGCTAATATTTGGTAATGTAGGTTTAAGAACATAAGACTGCAGGAATGGCCAGTAAATTGATATATACTGTACCTAGACAGTGCAGGTATAAAACCAGGCTATATGACCAAGGATATTTTGTATTTCTGTATCAGCTTCTGGACTGTTATTGTATATTGCAATAAATGTGTAGTGTATACATATGAAAATAAAAAATATACTGTACATTCAATTCTTTATTTTGTATTACCTATCTACAAAGATGTAAAAACATAGTACATATGTAATTTTTTTCTATGTTGCTGACAGAACACATTACCTTTTTCAGAACAATTTATAATGTAAGTTTGTTAGGTGGCGATGGTAGATACAACACTGCAGTAGCCCTCCTCCTTTATCCGGGCTTGGGACCGGCATGTTCGACTGAACAAGGCGGAGTTACTACTGTGCATTCTACGTCTAACTACGGTGCTGTTAGTGCTATCAACTATAACTTGAAAAACTTTACCTTTATTACCTGCAAGAAGCACCTTGTAGTAGGTCCAGTCAGCCACACAAACAAACCTGGAATACAAAAAACTTTAAAACATAACATTCATAAATACTTGCATATAGACATTATATATTGTCATAAGTACTTTACCTGTTTGGAGGAGTTCTCGACCAGCCACACGTTCACTTCAGTCAGACGTTCACCTCGGAGGCGCACAATCTGAAAGAAATGAGAAAACCTTAGTCCCATCCACACACATTAAAGGTGGGAGGTTGGGTGTGTGAGAGAGGGTGAGTGTATGGATGGGAGTGAGGGTGTGTGTATGGGAGGACCTCCCCCACACACACCCTCACTCCCATCCATACACTCACCCTCTCTCACACCTTTCCTTATACCCAACACTCCCTCCCAAACACCCCCACCCACCCACCAACCCTCCCTCCCTCCCACCCCCCCTCCCTCCCACCCAACCCTCCTCCTACACCACCTCCCCTCCAACCCAACTCACATACCTACCCATCCCAACTCCCTTCCCATCCACCCAACCTTTTGGGTGTGTGGATGGGTGGTAGTGTTTGTGGATGGGAGGATGTGGATGGGAGGAAGAGGATGTGCATGGGAGGAAGAGGGAGTGGTTAGGAGGAAGAGTGTGTGGTTGGGAAGAAGGGTGTGGTGTGCCATGCCCTCCTCCATGCAAACACAGCATCGAAAAATATTGTGAAGAAAATTGGTTTGTATTGCTGTAATATTGTATTGTGAGGACTCATTTGTGTTTTACTATGAATGATAAGTGTGCAGGGATTATGGTGGTGTGAGAGAGAGCCTTATAATAGTTGTGAGAGACTTGCTGTGTGTTGGCAGGAGCAACAGGATAGGCACGGCTTATAGCACTATTTTACCCTCACTTATATATCATATTATTGTATGCCAATAATTATTATTCAATATATTTACCAATGGTTTTACTGTATCAATTTGACTAACAAATTATAAATATAATATAATATCTCTAAGGTTGTGGCCCCAGAATATACTACATATTATTTTAAACTATTGTAACACAGTAGAGATAGGAACACGTAAAGGAAGATAGAACATGATTAAATTAACCAACAGCTCAACGTTTAACAGTTATGATACAGTTTAGGTATAGACTAAAAAATGTTTATCTAACCTAACCCAATTATATGTCCATAAGAGAAGTGGGACATCTTGGAGTATCACAAGGGAGATAATGATTAAGCAGTGTAATAATGCCCACAACCATCCTGTCCACAATCCCATTAAAATCATAGACAATCTCTGCAGCTAACGGTCAAATACCCTTTGGATATTTGGCCAGCCAGCACAGTCAAATAACACCTTCATAACTTGTGGTGGGTAGTGGTGGTGGAGTCCCTTAGTACCACAGTACTGTGTTTATATTTGATTCATATTATCCACAGTTGTTCTGTGGATGATGTAGTATTAATGGTAAAATTTCACTTGTTACCACCAAGCATTTGGAAGTTGAAATTATGCTTGATGGATGTAAAATGTTATATAGATTTGATTCAATTGTTTGAAATTTTTTGGTACAAATTTATAAATTAAAAAGTTTTGATTTTAGGGGAAAATTTGACATTTCCTACGAACATATAGGACAAGAGTGTACAGTGTATGTAATTAATTTGCATTAGTATATAAGTATACTGTATTGATTGCACCAGTATAGAATATATAACCTAATCTAAACCATACTAGCCAAACAGATGGACTATGCCAAGATCTGATTGGTTAACAAACCAGCTACTAAAATGTAAAATATCTCACTTATACAGAACTTAATTTGTGACAGAAATGCCATAGAAGAAAAGTGTTTTAGAATGATCAAAACTACTGATTGCAACCATAAAATTTTGGGTGGCAACAAATGACATAATATCATATTAACTAATAAAAATTAACACAACTTTTTATTTTAATTATAAATACCAGTATTTTTTTATCTCTTCTCTATGAACATAAATCACCTGTAATGGGCAGGACATGGAAGATGACGGAGAGTACGGGGTAAAACACGGTGAAGAACTGATCATGTGACACTAAAATGATGTCTCCACGCTCTTTGACACAGAGAAATTAACTATTTACTGTAAACAATCTACCAAAAAATATGACGTGGCAGCCTGTGTTGTTGTCCGCTCTTAAACCAATAAACACTGACTCCGGTAATACTGTACTTAACTTGTCAATAAATGACAGACCCTCACATTGGTGGTTTTATTACCATATACCGGTATATAAAATTGATTGTGTTTTTTTCTTTTAGGCTTTACTATCCAGATTCATGAGTCTATTATCTCCACAAATCCCTTATTTATTTCTTCGTTTGGTTAAGTAGGATCTTAAACCTATTCTATGCACATTATAAATTATGAGAATTATATTGTTGGAATCAAATCCCATAATAATGAGTTTAAATACATTTCCAATTTCTTTTGAGTAATATTGGTTAATGAGTGAAACTTATGTTCTTATATTTCATTTTCCCTCCCTAGTTATGACTTCTTGTTGGCGTTGCTGTTTATCAAATCATAAATTATCTGCAAGACCCATTGTCAGATTTATAGCCGAGTGGGGAGGGCCTGTTCAACGACCAAGAGGGCCAAGATTATTTATTAACGACTCTGCCATATATGACATTATTAGTTGTAATTTATATAATGAAA